ATATCTGGTCGACTACAACTGCGAATATTCATTCTGACATCAACCTCTGCACTCCATGTGTTTCTGTAATTTCGGAGTTAAACAGGCGTGTGCTTGAAAGAAAAAGCAATAGGACTCTCTTCAAATCCGATGATATATTAAAAACTGGCTTAACGGAAATTCGGTACCAAATAGCCAGAACGAAAAGGCAGATGTAATTTACGCCAAAAATTCACAAAATGACAGCTATTTTATATGGATCAAATTATTATACTATTATAGATAAGGATGATAGGACATAGGAAAGCAACTACCATTACGAATCTAGCCAATGCAAAAAAACGACGTTTGAAAGAAGGTTGGCTGGCTTTTTGCCAAGTTTCCACGGGATGCAACGGCTACTTTTACTAAAAATTATGGTAACAACGCTTGGAAACTACAAACACCGCTTAGTCGTCACAGCTCTCTTAATCCAAAAAGACACAAGGTCATGAACAGACAACGCGAGATTTCTCCATTGTGGCAAAATTTATGTACACTTCAAATAAAGCTTAAAATATTGTTATAGTAACGTCTTGTCGATCCAAATCACCGTATCTACATGCATTATATTGTTTGCATTTGAAAACGGCTGGTAACATCAGCCGAAATCTTTGTGCTGTAGCAAACGCTTTGTACCGGGTGTAATTTAAATAAACTCATATCTTACTCATAGATCAACCCAAGATGTGATATAATTATACATATATTGTTAGACGCAGTGCTAGTATTTGAGAAGGACGGATGTTCGCCGATTCCTCCACTGTATTGTTAAAAATAGCTCCTCAGAATTTTCACTGTGCGCGAAGTGTCATAGCTTTCTTTCTATGCTGTTGTATTCTTGTGGGATATTTATTTTGCCACTTGTTGCATTTTTGTTTTCTTAATCTATTACTTTGTCTGTTTCTTTTCGACTGCTCGAAAACTATTATATGCTCCTTTTATTGTCATGTGATATCATGTAATTCCAAATTCTATTAATGCAGTGAAGTTGTAATCTTTCATTTTAATTCTTTGATTTTTGCTGGAAGGCATCAGTAGAGTTTCGCTGCTTCAGATCATGGAATTAAGGAATTTCCTTCCAGAACTTCTAAAATTTTCTCTTACTTTGTATTTGTCTGTGCTGTGTTACGAAGCTTCCCACGAGAAGTGTTGCTAGGATGATTTATAGCGGTCAGACTTGAAGGATTTCAATTCTAAAGCTGCGAGGCAAAAGAATATTTTTCGATTATCATACCTAAAATGAAAATATGCCCGAAAATGTCATATTTCAAAATCTTATATTTCCTAAAGTTTAACAACAAACACAACAACGTAATACATAATTAAAATTTAAAAGTCTTGTATTACTTTATTGCCATATTCATCCCGATATAGATCGTTGCTTAATACCCATGGAATTGATTTGACCAGGCTTAGACTGAATGTGCTTGCAGAGTTCAAGACGTATGTTTATTTTGGATAGGTTAATGGAGAAGCGTTAGTAAAAGCAACGGATTGAGACGATCGTAGAGAAACCAATTCTGTAGCGATCAACTCAGTTCCTTACAATCTGCTTGTCAAGTTAGCACGTTTCAGCGGATCGATAGCAACGCAGAGTGAAATGGAGATTTCTCGTATGAGGTCAGTCCGTACTACGTACGTTGCAGAAAGACACATCTATCTTCTGGCTTTAGAAGGCTTGATAGAACAGCGCTACAGGCATCTAGCCACCTTCGTGGCAGCACAATCTTCCTTGTTGATTGATTGATTTACTAAGTTTTTACATTTCCATCTGAATGACTGGTCGAAAGCATTTTGATGAAATCTTCAAAAGTTTTGCTCTTCTTAAAACTGGAGTTACACAGTTCATGGTTTGAGTCCAATTGTTGATTTTCTCATGTTAATCCATGCATTTGGATATCGTGTATATTAAATTTCTGTCCATCATTGCGTTTCCTATTCATCGTTTAAAATTCGTTGTCTCATTATTGGTATTTTGTTTGTTTTTTTGCATTATATGTATACTGTTGTACCAATGGATCAGTAGTTGTTGCCACGTCAGTTATTGCTAGCTTTGCGTACAATTTCCACTAAGTTAGGTAGTAGACATTTCGACCTGATGAATTGAATGATTGATTGATTGAATTGCAATAAACAGTCACGCAGCAATGGTATTTTTGTGTATGGATGTGTTTCGCTGATTAGAGGTGACAGAACAAAGCATAATGAAAAGCCACGTTATCCGGTGACATTATAACAAAACAAATCGTAAAGTATGTAACTGTAGAGAGAAGATTTGGAAACTGTTATACTGGAATAAACCCTCAGTAAGATGAATAGAGGACAAAAGTCGTGCATGATCAACCTGATCTGGCTAGCATTGTTATGACATGAGAAGTTATTTCCTAGAAATTGCTTTTATTTATTTCGAGGTAAATCTGCCTTTGGACAGGTATTCACAGCTATTGCTGCTACGCTCTCAAATTCAAGCCACGAATTTGGTTCTATTAATATTCATCGTCCAAAATAATGGAGACAACTTTACTGAATAGGTGGTTTACCACAAGGATATGCGACACCGCTGTGGATCATGCTTCTTGTTGTAGTGGTCACGCACTAGTCATTCCATTATAAATTAGTTAACTCATCGAAAATATGTATTCAGTGCTGTGAACTGTTTATTAAATTTAGTTTTAAAGCTGTACATCATTCTCCTGAAACTTCCTCTGAAAGATGCGCCATTCATTCTAATAAGTACGGGACTACAAATGGCATCGGCACAAAAAACAGCACAGTGTCGTATGAACGAAAAAAAATGATGCCCTTTATGGAAATGGGGACCGATGTTGATGAATTTCTTGCTCAGAATGGTTTACAATCAAGGAAACATTCGCGCCGCGCTTAGATATAGAACTCCTAGCCGTGGAATGCATGATTTTTGACGTACTAAGGCACTATCCACACTCCCCCTGAATAGCATGTTTCAAATACTGCGCTAGTAAATGTTCTAAACGCGATAGACTTACAAAATCATACTATGACCGGTTATAAATACTAATTTTTAGCCGGAATATGTCAAAAATATGGAGTTTACGGATAGTCCGGATTTTCTGGCACATTCCGCTATTGCGGCTGATTCGCTGATGGACTTTCAGTTTATTCTTACAACGGAAAATAGCGAACGTTTAAAGAAATGTAACCGGAATCAGGTGAGCCTATTTTTTTTTAGCTTAGCCGTTTGTCTACGCGAAGCTTTGTTAGGGTCTTTTCATTCAAAAGCGATGCGTGGAGTTTCTGTTCAACGCCTGCCATCAGCTTCATTTGACGTCTCACGTGCGTTACACCGCTTCCCTAATCTTCGACTCGTAACAGTTAAACTTGGACTGATCATCAGTTTTTTAAGCACGTTATAGATTTCTCATTGAACATGTAAATTCGTTGTGGCAATACGTCTTGGATAACTGCGAGGACAAGAAGATTGCTAAGTTGGAATGGCAGAACCTCGAAGACAAGATCGCCAGTCAGATGACTCTTCGTGTTTTGTCCTGCATACAGATTGCCAGCAAACTGCACAGCCATTGTCGAGTAAATCCTCATGGCCATTACTTAATAATACTTATACCTCATAGTTTTAACGTGTAATCAAGTTCAGTTAGCACGTGATGGTTATGATGGTTGCTGTGTGTTGATGGTTAACAAATATGCTAGGACACGCTTGCGATCAGACAGTTCTCTCCTTATAGCTGATTGTCTGTACAGTTACTGGGCACGGCACTTGTTGTACAGGTGACGACGGTTGTTCGACAGAAGTTTATATAACTAGATGAAGTAACTGTAGTAATTCGAATGGAAAATTGTCAAAGAATGTCTTTGCAGTTGATTCATGATACGAAGTGAAAATCGAATGTCTACACAGCTTGTTCATCAGAGACAAGGAAACAGGTGAGAAGATTGTGTGGAAGTACGAACTCCGTCGGAAGTGCTTATGTCATGCCAGAGTGCATACACTAGACGAACCGTTATTTTCTCAATCGAGGAACATAACCATACTGCTAATGCTGCCAAAGTACAAATAGTAAGAGTTATCGAAGAATTGAAGAAACGCACTCTAATGCCTCAGGATTCTAACCATGAAATAATGGCGTTAGCTTGTGTGGAATTGTCACAATCAACAACCGAAAAATTTCCATCCGTCCATAGCTTAAGGCAGACAGTACAGCACCAAAAGGCCAAGTCACATTTCGAACTGCCAAATCTAACCAATGATTTGGTACTACAGACGTTTGGCTTCGTGATTTCCTGATGCACGGCAACGGACCTGGTAGCAGTCACGTGTTAATTTTTTCTTCTAGGAATAATATACAGCTATTGTCATAATCATCGAACTGGTATATTGATGGAGCATCTAAAGCTATTCCTCAATCGTTTCACTGCCTGCACAAGATCCACTGGATACGGTGCTTCAGTGTCATACCACCCGTATTTGCTTTACTACCAGAAAAAAATAGGGCGAATAGATATTTGCGAATGCTGGGTGTCCTGAAATATTTCGAACCAAGTTTTCTACCTCAGTCGGTACTGAGAGACTTCGCACATGTGGCCTTTAATGCTTTTCAAAGAAGCTTTCTAAATGTTCTGCATTGCGAGTGCTTTTTCAGTTTGGCCAGTGCAACTACCGAAGCATTCAAGTAAACGGCCTCCAGCAGCAGTACTCAGCCGATACTACCTTCTCTTTAAAAATTCGAATGCTCATTCCACTGTTCTTTATTCCAGGGCTGCGCGCATTTGAGGTCTTTTCAAAAATGAACGATGACCCGATCGAGGCGCAAGGGTTTATAGACTCCTTCGAAGGTACGTGGATTGACCATCCAGATCGACAAAGACACGAAAACAACCACGCTTGAATATAGCAATTTGGAAGTATCTTGACATCCACAAGGGTCTGACAAAATATTGCCGTTCTAGGTAGATGACCGAGAATTTTCGTAAGTTATTCAGTCACACCATCCCTCTATATGGAAGTTCCTCGTTTGTCTGCAAAAGGAACAAAGCCTGAACGAAACGAAGATCAATCAATTCATTGTAGGCCAGCCACAATCGCTACAAAAACGAAATATGCTGAATGAACTCAGCGTATAGTTGGATCGTATTCTGAAGAACTCGAGAAGGCTAGCGCGAATATGTAACTTTTCGGTCGTTTAAGAACTATTGCACTTTTTTAATTATTAATTGAATAGCCTTATGTGCTAAAAACCTAAAAATGTATAAAAAATTGCTCGAGCCAAACGTCACAACAGCTGCAGACCACAGAACCAATTCTAGAGATCAACCCGGGCCATCCTGAAGAAGGCTGTGAGACACGAACCGAAACGTCGGTACTGGTCAGTCACCCGACGGATATTTATTTGCGCTGTGTATAAAAAAACTTATATATCTTTTAGTTTCAACTTTATCGCCAGTGCATAAACAAAATACTCAACCTAACTTGTTTCAACAAAAAATGTGCATTTTCCGTTGTACGGTGCAGAAGGTGCTTGTTTAATAGTATGTCAAAAAAACTGCGGAAACAAAGTTCGACAGACGATCTGTAACTCAAATTTTACGTTACTGTAGATGACGCGAGGCAGTGAATGACTGTACAGACAATCAGCTGTGAGGCGAGTAAGTTTCCCGGAGCTAGTGTGCGCGCGATCAAAATAGGGCATAGTCTGTTGATGAAAACAACAGTTAAGCAGTTTAGCTCATCTTGGCTGTAAAGCGGTCCACTGGACACCAAGACCACAAACTTGACTCTGACATAAGCCGACTCACTGAGGGGGTGGGCAAGAATTTTTGCAGCATATTTGCCGCACTGCAAGACAAACTATTGTCAGAGTAGGCTTTTTGCCATAGCAAAACATGATCAAGCAGGGCATTTTCTCAGTAGAATGATTACAGATCTTTCGCCACATGACAAGAACTAAACATAAAAATAGGCTATAATATATATAAAACAAAACACTAATATTACACTGAAATTCTGCATAAACCCGGTATCAGAAACTGAAATATGATTTACAGTGGAATTGGCAAGCTACAGTATGTTAGTGTCCAAATTGTACAGGTGTCTAAAGACAAAAGTTATTTTTTGTCTATGGAATAGGTATATTTAACAGAATGCGGGTGATCACAAAAACAAATGCCGCTTCCAAGCAACTTTGAAGTTATGCACTGTACTTAGTGCATTCCATCTTAGGACCCTGTATTTACTTTCAATTGCAACTAAACCGCTTCGAGCATATCTGTCATAACCTTTTTATAGAGCGTTGCACTGCGACAGTGATGGCCAAGAGTGCGTATCTCAGCCACTATAAATGTAGTGCTCGTCATTGTGTTAAAGCTTGGTTTTTTTCGACTGGCTGAAAGACATGAAAATCAAACGCATTCTACCTCTAACTGTATCATGGTTAACTCGGGTGATTTATGACTGCTCAGGCCGCATCTGAGTCGCGTAGGTTAATGAGACTGGCGTCGAAGGTTAGGCGAAGAGGTTCATTCATTCGAAAAGTTTGTGTCTACATCGCATCAAGACTATCACATGTCCATGCTTAAAATGGGCTTTCGATCAGAATCTCTTATGATAGCAATATCTCGTATGTTATTTAAAGTGTTGATGATTATAGAACCTTACGACGGCGACTGTCCGCGAATTCCTACGCCAATTGGGCCACAGCTACACGCTTGAGCATGTCTTAAATTCGGAGATGCGCGTACTCAAAACGCTGGAGTATCACTTAAGTTTTACGTCTCCCCTCGTGTATATCGAAACGCTGCTAAAACTACTCAGTAAAAATTCATCGTGCTGCCATATTTTTTATGCTCAGTTCTAGATATTGCGGATTCGCGATTACCTGTTGAACGATGCTATGATACCTGTTTGGACCTTCTGGATTCAGTATGGCTGGACAGAGACGCCGTCTATCGTCTTCTCCTAAGCACAACGCTGAACAACTCTTCGAACGATAGGTATTGCAGTGCATGTTTTCCCTATATCGAGGTTGCTCAGTCTTTAGTGCGTTACACTCAGAACCGTGAGGTTCATTCCTGGTCAGGGCCAGGTTACTCAACCTCTCTTCCTTCTGAGATTGGTAAATGATTATCATTCCATAAGAAGGAAACATTGATTGACCCTATTTGCAATGTGATGGCAAACATATTGCAGTCAGTATATTGTATATGATTGCAGTTTAAAATTAGAAGAAATGATCATATCCGGCATGGAAATGGAAATCTGCGCCGCACCATTAACTTCATGAAAATAAAGGCGCCAGAAGTGGCATGGTCGTGAAAGTGTGCAAAACACCGACATTAGATCGGTTGCGAACTTTCCTTTTTTACCGTAGTGCTTATGAAATGCGGTGTCAAGACCCTTATATCGTAGTTATTTTTGAGTGCGATAGTAGTTATGTTCAGGTTTAATTGCTACCGCATAAGAAATATATTGGTTGCCCATAAGTGCGTCTACGGTGCTATGCATTATTTAAAAACAACGTAAAGGAGAAAAAACTTGACGTTCATTTAATGGCTATTTTCCTGTTTCACTGTTGGTCCATCAGTGTCCGATAAAGGAGCGTGGCGGTACCGACGTGTCAGCTTTTTATTCGTTACGTTCTCAGCCAAAATGTTGGCTACCTTTTTATGCCTGAATCTTCTCTTCCAGTAGGGGGAGGGGGTAATTTCGACAGTTTTGGGGGGTGATACAGTGGTGCAACGGGGTAGTAGTTTGCTTTGCACTTTAGAGGTGTCGTATTGAGACCCCAGTCACGGCATAAAATTTTTTTATTAACTGCTAATTTCCATAAGCATGGGGTTCTCCCCACGTGATTCAGTGCAATCAGCAGAATAACTGGTAACAACTCGTTGACCTACGAATTGCGACAGCATTATGTTTTGGTTTGGTCATACCATAGCGTGCGAGACACGTGCGGCGCATTCCTTGCTCACGGGAATTTGTGGTTAATACAAAGATTGCCCCTTCTTCGGACTCGAACCTGGCACCTGCTGAGTTCAAAGGCAACTTTTTTGGCGATCTCTGAGTCACCCTGTCCCAAAGCGAATTCCTCGATTGCGAACATAGTCATAATGTTGATTTATTACAGGTTAATCAATATTTTTGCACTCTGTTTAAAATCTCAGTGTTTTTTGCTGCCTTCGCATGCAAAGTACGGAATTTCATTTGTTGTCCCGTCACTGTGTATAGTTTAGAAATCGATTGGCATGGATCGAGTCGGACTATCTGTTACTGGCTGTGACGGTGATCTACTGCTCCTTTCTGGTATTGGGTTTCCCTGAGATTAATACACTGGTATGAATTTTTTATGACTGAGTGAGTGTGCTTACTTTCTCGTAGAATATTTGTTTAAAATCACTTCATGTCGTGTTCGCCTACTTTACACAGTTTTTAGGTTAATTAGGACCGTCTGCTTAAAATTGGTATTGCATGCATCCGTAAAGTTGACACCAATGTGTATGGTTCTCATGTTTCTAGCGGGTAGTATTAAGTACCTGTTTTTGGGGGTTTTCTACGAAATATCCTTTTGCATCCTTTAGCTGCGTTACACTCAGTATGCTATTAGGGCAGATAAGCAGGACTGACTAATGATCTGCAGAAATTCAGTGATCAAACTAGCCGTCCCATTGTCCACCGGGTCACGAAAAAAATTAGACTTTTCATTGAATCTAGCTTAGTGTTTTAGCTGATAGTAAACTTAAAGGTTAAATGTGTTTCCACTGCTTTCAACCGATGGTTGCAAAATGTGAACTCCAAGCCTGCAAGCTATTCATAAACGGCGGACTGCAACGCAGCATTGGTAGGTGTACGTTAGGAATTACTAGAATAGAAGTGAAGGCGAATGAATGACTGAGAACACTAATCTGCTATTTCATTGCTTGAGTGAAGAAGTTACAGTGGCAGTGGGTAAGACGGGTTGCAAGATGAACCGAAAATCGCTGGACCAGAGACATTAGACTGGGTTCCGAAAGAAAGTAAATGGCAGCAGGAAACCATCCAGACTAATGGCAGGATGAGCTGAAGAAGTCTTCTTGGTCGAAATGGATAAAAATGGTATGAAATAAGTTTACAACTAAGTTTTCCTCCTCCTGGAGAGGCCTTCATCCTACAGTGGACCGATATAGGCTGATGATAATTTATGTTTTTGTTGCACTATTAACTGAAATATGACTATTAGCCTTTTGAACCAGACCCAGAGATTTACTGTTGCAAACATGTGGCTAGGAGCTATCTCTTATGGTCCATCGATAATGGTAACTTTGCGCAGCAGAAGTGATTATTTATATTTTGGGTTGGTTTTCAACTACTACCGACCAGTGCCATCCTTTTTTGCGATACTTTCTACATTTCTCAAAAATGTACTGTAAATTCGACGGAGTGGCGTATTTAGATGAAGAGGATTCACGAAATCACGCATATTCCTGCACAGGACGTGCTCGACTTTTCGCGAGTAATCTGTAGACATCTAGTGACGGTAGCTACCGGTGACGAAGGCATGAACGCTAGCTGATGATCATTCGCAGAACGTCTGTTTCGCTCTCCTCCGTCTAGTTCTGTTTTTTCTTTGTTTTGTTTTTGCAGTTGCATCAGCACTTTTATGTTTCTTTCCTGATGTTATTTGTTGATTCTTTTGTTTCTGTTATTTTGGTTTTAGTGTTGATTTCCGTATTTTACTTGACGTGTTTCTTGCAAAGTGTTGAACTTGTTTCAAAGGTTTTGCTTGGCTTCTTAATGACAGCACGCAACAGATAATTAGTCAGTAGTTTCGGGTTTAAGAAAACTCAGCAAAAATGTCACCCCCCCTCCCGCGACGGCAATAGATGTGCTATACAGAACGCTTTCGTTTTATGCATAAAGATTATGATGCCAGCCAGGTGTTACTGCTGTAATACATGCCAGTAACACCTGGAGTAGTCGATTCCAGCAGTAACACCTGGTTTCTTCGTCGTCAATCCGTCGATCTTCGTCAGCCGTCGTTGTGCTGCTACAACCCTGGCTGGCAG